TTCCCAGTCCATAAGCTGGGAGCTGGATGGAAAGTGGAGCAGCTGGGACATGAGCCAGTGTCTGTGTGGGATACTGGTGCCAGAGGCAGAAGATTAGCCTACATACCACTGCGTCAGTTCAAAGCTTTTAACTTTTAATACAGATTCTGATTTTGATACCATTTCCTTTACAATAACCAGCAGGTGAAATAACATAAATCAAGAAAACTCAGAGCATTCCTCAACATCATTCTCTGTCATCTTCCTGCCTCCTTGAATAGCTTGTGTATTGGTCTTATCTGGAAACTGGGTTTCTCCTGGTGGTCAGGGCTGATCCCTCTACCTCACCTTCTCATCCTTCCTGTCACCTGTAGGACCAGACTAGAGGCGCGCTCGCTCGGTGCCTTCAGGCATTGCCTTGCCTCCCTAAGCACACAGAGGAACCTTCCTCAGCCACCTTCCACTTACTCTCCGTAAGTTAGCCCAACTTTTTCCCCTCTGCACATTTCTTCACATGGACAACTTGAGTGTCATGAAGAGGCTGATTTTTTTTTTTCCTAAGTCCTACCAACCTGGGGGTATTGGGGAATAACCAGGCTACTCAGGGCTATTCTGAATAGCTATGCTGACTTCTATCAAAGTCCCTCAGGGCTGCTCTGAAGGCCTTGTGACAGTGCCACCACTTCTCTGACACTCACAGGGCTTCTAAGAATGCTTGTTCTCCTGCTTTGCCCAAAGTGTCCCTGTGCATTCTCTCTCTGTACTTCCCGCCACCTTCCTACCACCCAGCTAGGATGGGGTTCTTTCTGCCCAGAACCCTCTGGGCTTCCCTGAGCATGCTGAGAAGGTGAGGTGTCTCACTCCAGCCTTTCACACGACTGCCTGGCCTCAAGCTGTCCTTCCTCTGCAACCCCTTCCTTTCCCATACCCTGCAATCAAGCCAACCTCAACTATTTTCCACTCGCTGCCCTGACTTTCGATCTCCATGCCTGGAATCACTTTCTGAATCCCAGGAGAGGCCAATCAGAATCTATCAGAACTTCAAAGACCAAGTCATCCCTGAAGTTTGCCATTCCAGAGACTGTTTTTTCTGAAGCTCTGGTGGCCTCTGACTGAACCTCCCAGCATTCACGCTGTCCTTGGCTTACCTTCCTCCATGGGCTGTAGATTATTTTAAAGTGGCAACTAAGCGGGCTACTGAAGAAGCAGCAACACAACAGTGTCAGATGGATAGAGACTCGAGTCCTGCCCTTACTTTCTCGATGGTCACTCACCATCCTTAATCACAGTTTCCCCAAATGGAAAACTCAAATAACACATTTCCTCAAAAAAAAAATTTTTTTTGAGATTTAAAAAAAAAGTCATCTGGTGCACAAACATGTTTGTGGACTTTATGTTCCCCTCCTCCATGGTTTCAAGTTACTCAGTTTAGGTTGGAGCTGCCCATGGTCACAAATCATGCCATTTTCCAAAATTGTGTTTCTTTTTTGAATTATAAATTCAAACACTGAGAATTTCATATTTATTCTTTTCTCTAAGGAAACAGATAAAGAAAATTGTCACCCCAATTATTCTTCCTTGAAATGAAGAGGGATGTTGGGAAGAATAAAAAGGATCAGGAGAATTAAAGTAGGAAGCAGAATAAAAGGAGAGAAGATATAGGCAAAAGGTGGGGGAGAGAAACAGATCTTTTTTATTTAATTTATATGAGAAGTGGAATGTTATTCAACTGAAAGCAGAAGTGCTTCCAACATGCTGTTCTTACAAAGCCCGACTCTTTAAATTGAAAAACGCTACAAACCACAGGGCAGCTTACAAATCAAATGAGTGTTTCTCACCTACTCCCATGCTTCCTGAAGGAGTCTGCTCATCTACAACCATCAATGGGCCTTAAGGAACTGCTAGTCTGGATTTTTTTTTTAAACATGGTTTGGCCAGGACTTGTGAACCCTGATCAGAAAATCTGGTTTGGCAGTGACCCACCAAAGTGTTGCAGGATTTAGCACTGGGCATAGACTTTGTTGCAGAGGGCTGCGAGCCAAACTGGGTCCTGGCTCTCTGCAGGAAGAGCTGCCCAAGTAACTAGAGAAAAAGGAAGCGGGAGGTTCTTCTCTGGCTAAGCAATTGAAGTTGGCCAAGATTTGTCATTTTCTAAACTCCCCACAGTGAAAATAACAACTACAGTTGTGAGCAAAATATTCCAAATCCTAAATTCTGCATGTTAGTGACTCAGTTTCCTTTCTGAAGTACGGAAGGTTTCCTCCCAAAGAAACCTACTTTACTTTTATTCTGTTGCAGAGTTTGGCTTTGTATCAATCATCTAGGGAAATTCTAAGAACTTAAAAATGTATGAATCCCCAGCGAACTGGATCTTTGTCATATATTCATTCCTAGTACTTTGGCAAAGCAGTCCCGTATCACTAGCCTAATTGGTGGCAGGTTATTTTCCAGCCATCAAGTAATATTTTCCTGTTGAAGAGTCAGAAATAAAAACATTCACTCATAAAAAATTGACTAATTTGGAATATGAACACCATAAGTATTTATTTGAAAAACATATTCCATTTAAGTAAACTGGCAAATCAGCTAGAGTGGCTTGTTTCCATTAACTGAATTTGCTCTCACAGTCACTGCTATACATAATATTCAAAGATAGCAATACAGAACATTATTTCACAAATTTTTAGGAAAAAAATATATACAGTCTTTCTAATGGAAAATTAATTGCAGCAAACATGCCAGGCAATATAAAGCTAATATAAAATAAATTGACATTTATAAACACAAATAAATAAATATATACAAGAGCTTAGGCCAATAATAGATAAAGAAAAACCTTTACAATGCAAATAATAGTGAGAAGATTGGAAAACATCTCAAGGTCCCAGAGTAAGATACTAATACAATTTTTGGTTATAAAATAGGGGGGAGAAACCAAGGCTGAGTTGATATTACTCCTACTGGTGGGTTAACCTGCATGCGTGTTTACAACTGATGGTAGAATTTGCCTTAGTCTTAAAAATTCATTCAAATATTGCAGTTCAGTTGTTTCTTGATTTTCCCCACCTGGCTTTTCAAAATTTCTAAAGAGAAGCTGCACTGTTGTCAAATGAAAAAAAAAATGTGAATATGAATAATCAAATCAAAGCTGCTTTTGAAACTATGTTACTTTATATAACTTAGTAAAGCACTTCGGGCAGATTAAGTAAAACTCACCATGACTATCTATGGTTTGAGGGAGGGAATACGTGACTATTCAGTGGGTTTTAAGACTTAATTTTCATCCATATATAAACTCTGCCAGAGTAAGCTGCCTATTACTACCAGCCTATGGAATAGGATTTGGCTGTATTGCTGTGAATGATCTTAAGGTTTACTATTCTTTTCTCCTAAATACTTTGTTCCGTGCGGGAGGGCACTGGACAATGTTTATCTCCCTGATGTGCTTCAGGCTCATGTCAAATGACTGGTAATAAGAATCCATCAGCACATTATTTCCTCTTGTGTTTGAGCCTGGATGAAAGCTTCAGAACTGAGGCTCAAAGAAAGGTAACAGGTGCCCAGGGGTGCTGCCTGGCCTCCAGGCCTTCCTATGTCTCCTCCCGGGAACTACCTGCAAGGCCTCCATCTAAAACCTCTGCTTCTAAGCACACTGGATCTGTCAAATGCCTCCTTTTCTTACCTCTTACACTGCTACTTCCCAAGAACTGCCACCCTCCAGATAGCCCAGAGGAAAGGCAAAGGAGCAGCAGGTGTCCAGATTCTAAGGAACTAGATTCAACTCCTCAGAACAAGGAAAAGCAAGTGTGCAATACTCAGGGTGGTTTGTGAGTTCATAAGGCCTGCCTCATAGAATGCCTGACTTACTGCAGCAGACTGTCACAAAAACTACACTAGTAATATTGCCAAGTCTCATCAGGCTCTTATATGCTACAATTGGACAACGCAGTATAAGCAGTTCTTTGACTACCAAGTGTGGACTCACATGTACATACATGATTTCAATTCTTATAAGTCATCCAGGTATCTCAGGTTGTATTCCTTAACAAAAGGGGAAGTTAGAGGTTTCCATTTGTGCAACTGGAACAAGGACAGGGTTGCGGAATTCCATCCCTGTGTCTCCTGAAAGGAAGATGGCTTCTTGCACACAGGTGTTGAATGCAAATTCTTCCCCTGGGTAGAATTTCTTCCTGGACTAGGGTAGAGTCCAGGAAGAAAAGGACAGGTGCAGCAGATTCAGGCATAACTTTGGGAGGTCTATATTAATGAGGTACTACTACAGAGGATTCAATTGGTGGGACTAAATACTAACAAGCAATGATGACTGAGTCTTGCATTTTCAATAGAATCAGAAAAATATTAACTTCATATTAACTGGATCAAAATCCTGAATAAGAAAAAAACTGGTTTTTTTCTTAAGGATATCATACTCATGCTTAAGACATGAAAAAACACCTTTAAATCACTAGGTCAAATATTCTTTTCTCTATGTGCTTGAAATTTCATTGTAAAAGAGAAAATACTAGTTTATTCTTGCAAAATAGCATGAGGATGGGCTTGTGAACATTACAAGAGTTGCAAACACTAGCTTTATTTTTATTGTTGAGAAGGATGGCACAGAATAGAGGGCATATGCGGGCTTATCTATGGAGTGGGGTACAAAAGAGTTATAAACTAGGCTTTCTCCTTAGCTCTGCCTTTCTTTCCTCCTTCAATTTCAGTGTCTTTCCCAAATTATAATTTGTCTGATACAATTCTATATTTGAAACATTTTATCATGTGTGACTAGGAAATCATACCGCTTTCAGAATTAAAGTTATTTGTAGTAATAAAAGAAGTGCCTCCACAGAAGAAATACACCAAAAATATTCTGAATGTCATGTGAATTTTCTGAACAAAATGCATTTCTCATACATATGCAGTTACCTAGGTGACAGCACATTTACATCTAGTACTTGTAGTTCTCATTGCTTGCAGATTTTCATGTTTCTGCACACTGAATCCTTTCCTGTTAAAACGCATTAAAACTTGGTGCTGTGGCTGAAGGAGTCTGACATGATAATGTTTTTATAGAAATTATCTGAATGAACATTGCAATAACCCTTGACCTTATCAATGACCTGATGGACAGGGATGATTGATGATGGTTCTGCATCAGCATGGGTCAGTTTTGACAAAGACTTGTCTCTCGAGGCATTATCTGCAAGAAATGATACAGGAATTAGCCTGCAAGACTGGCTGGACTTACCTAGGGCCACTGCACTGTAAACCCTGTTTTTCATATTAAGGAAGCATGTCAATGAAAGCAAGATGTGCTCTTTCAAAGGTTAAACAATAGGCAACATTAAAATTCCAGTGCACATCTTCAGTGTGCATTCTTAATAGTCACAGAAGGCTAGTTCATCCTTTAACAACCTGTGATGTGATTTGATCCAAGAAACCTTTTTATAAGTGTCATTTTTTAAAACGTCAATGAATACAAGCATCTGAAAAATCACTTCACAAATGTAGGTGTCAACTGCCTCAAAACATGTAACAAATAATGTTACAAGTGAACTAAAGCAAGCTAAAATATTATGAAAGAAAAGATTTGATAACTAACACATTTGCCAACTGGTACAGGCAAGGAAATTTGGTGGGGATGCTTAGTTGGTGGTGAGTTCATGGGCACAAAAGGATCTGTTACACTCCCCTCTACTTCTTACACACGCTTCATCCTTTTCAAACGAAGTGGTTCATCCTTTATAAAATGAAAATTTTGTAAAGTTACACTGCAAGAATCTTGAAGAATAAGAGAATGAAGGTCATCAAAAGGATATGTGGAAGGCTTTTTTCTAAAATGGATTTTTTAGCTTGTATGAAATGGCTGGGACATAATAAGAGGAAATAGTTTATGAATTATTATTTTATCTGAAATATTTAGTAGAAAAGTTTTTGTTTTTATTAACAATGCTATGGCTTCAAAGCAACTGATAGTAATACAGGGCTGCTCAATTTCTTCCCTGAGTTTTTAATATAATACATATTCAAACAGTATTCCTCTAGACTCATAGCTTTCTAAAAGTACCTCTGAGGGTACTCTGAAATTTACTTAGGGCTATTCTCTACATATATATATATACAACATATATATATACATATATATATATAAAATTATCTGCATGAATCTAATGGATACCTTCTGTGTATCTGCCTGCCTTTCCTCCTCTTCCAATACAGAGAAATTCTACCCTCAAATTAACCAAATTAGAGATGTCTTACACTGATGAAGGATAAAATTTGAGATAGTTGGCTTCTGAAAGTTATTCTTTCTCTATATACCATGGAAAACGTAAAAATCGCTATGCTAAAAGAACTGTTTTTAGGGATCATGAAGCTTTCATGCTTCAAGTAAGTTGCACCCAATATGTGCTGGAACACTTAAACCCATCAATAATTAGTAACAGTCATCATCATGATATCTGTTGTCATGGGGAATGGTTCAAATAACTCAACCACTGCTTTGGGCGAGACACTAAATAAGGTTAAAGCTAAGTAGATTATAGCACTCTCAGGTCACACTAGTGGAGGCCAGGAAGGAGAAAAGCTGGATCATGTAGAGAATGGGGAGAATGAGAAGGTAGAAGGATGGAAGCATGGCCCAGTGCTGATGAGAACAGATCCAAAGAGTCCTAATGCCAAGCTCCTGTTCCTATTTGGCTCTCAGCAAGCTGATGGAGTCTGTGCTTTCTTAAGTTTGCATATTCACTAGCCATTGGTTTTCCACTGGAGAGGTTTCTAAACAATTTTGGTTGTTATGTAAACCACCACACATTCTCAGCGAAATGTCAATGATATATGCATGTTTCCTTGACAATTTCAAGGAATATGTATTTTAGAGATGTTGACCACCTCCATTCCAGATATCATCCAATATGATGGGGCTTTACAACTTAATAAGTCAAAATTTAGTCAAAGGCTATTTTTTATATATGTATATATTATATAAATACTATCCTCAGTCTTCTGGTTAGGTATTAAATTGAGCTACATATACATTTTGATCACAGCTGCAAGTTTGAAAACCAGGGGCTAGGGAAATGAAATATTATCTGACCTATGCTGAAATGTCAAGCACACAAAAATCCTCACAAAGCAGGCTTGGAATTGACACTTTATCTTTGATGACTTCTATGAATGTACCATGACTTATCCAGTAATCCAAAATGTGGTAGAAAAGTGAAATAATTTTATGTCCTTCTATTTTGAAAAAACTCTGATGTACTGCTTTTCGTTATTCTTTTATCATTACATCCCATGGGACCGCTCACTCCAGAGCATGGTACATTTTCTAGAAGGAGCAGCTTGCAGGCACCCCATGCAGAGAAGAGCCAGCACAGCAAACCATTATTCGAAACTCCAGTGCAGGAATGGCACCGTGCTAGCTGAAAAGAACTGCACAGGACAAGCCATTCTGCTGGTGTAGCAAGATTCTTAGCTCAGTTCATGCAAATGCTCTTATTACCTTGTAAAAATTTCATGCATTTATAAAAGTAATGAAAGTTTACCTGAATGATCCACTTTTGCTGAAGGAATGCTCTTAGGAGATATTATCTATACCATAAACATACGAATGTCTAGATCAATTCCAAGAAACAAACCAACCAGATATTCATGATGATATGCAGCAACGTTTTGCTTAACCTGCATGATTTCCAGTATATAAGCTGCTTCACTAGAGACTGGCTTGGTAGCTAACGGCTATTTGAAGTCAGCTTATTGGAAACCAGGATTTATTATATCATAGCAGCAATGACATACATGTAACTACATTATCATGCTAATTTGCAAGAATCTATCTTACCCCAGAAGTGTTTTTGGTTAAGTGAACACAAACCATTAACATATTCTTTAAAAAGCAAATTTAAAAGAAATCCATACAGCATTTTGAAACAACAAAATCTGTTTCATTCCCTCTATTTCTGAATTTCTTCTTTACTTTCTAGCCAGGTTTCCTCAGTATCCCACAGTTCTTTCTCTCTGTAAGACTTCCAGTGCCTCCCACATTGTAGATGATCTACTCTGTTACTTTCTCTCATCTTGTAAGAGTGGCTCTCTCCATGTTAGCTATTCTTACCTATACTAAAGGCAGAATAATGCAATTGATCTAATTCTTAATCATTCATAATCGATTGAGCAGGCATTACTGGAATTTAGAAGGGAACACAGAATTAGGAATTTACTTTTTAAAAAACTGAAAAAAATCACTCATCATAAATTCAAGACTTGATGCCAAGGCATTATCAAATAGGCAGAATAATCTATCTCAAACCATATACCTACCTACTATCAGATTCCTTACTGAAGTATTCTCAAGCAGAGATGTGTATAGATTTTCAAGTTTAGGCAAAGGTATAAAAAACACCTGTATCACAGGTGATATATAAAATCAAATATAAATATATATAAATCAAATATATATAATAATAATCATGTCTATAGTATCATATGAGTCACATATGTTTTAAAGTATTTCCTTATGCTGGATGAGAATTTCTTTTATTCTATTTCCTTAGAAAGTCCTTGATTCCAAGAAGTTTTTAAAGCTGCTGTTTTAAGCAGTTCTGAATTCTTAGCAAGCTAACTAATTTTGATATTAACAAACTCCCTAATATTCAAACTGTTCCCTCAGTACCATCACAAATCCCAGACAATGGCCACTCCAGTGTCAAATACACATAAAAACTACTTGCAGTTAAAGTGTTTTCAATGCAAATAATTAAAGACACATCACAGAGTTTATCTACAAAAAGCCAAATATACAGCTTTTCTGTGCCATTTCTCTGTTCAGTGTTTAATAGCTAAGTAAACTGAAAATCAGTTAGTTCCAGGGCCAGCATGGTAGCATAGCAGGGAAAGCCATCACCTGGAATGCTTTCATCCCACACAGGCTCCTGTTAGAGTTCCAGTTGGAGTTCCAGTTAGTCCACTTCTGATTCAGCTCCCTACTAAAAACCTGGGAAAGCAGAAGATGGCTGAAGGGCTCAGGTCCCTGCATCCAGTTGGAAACTCAGGAAGAAGCTCCTATTCCTGGCTTCAGTTTGTACCAGTCCCAGCCACGTGGCCATCTGAGGAGTCAACCAGCATACACAAGATCTCTCTCTCTCTCTCTTTCTTTCTCTCTCTCTCTTTCCTTTCCCTCCACAAGCCCTCTCTCTCCCTGTGTAACTCTTTCAAATAAATAAATAAATCTTTAAAAAGTTGTTTTCATTTTCTTTTAAATGTTTCTGTAATTTATCCTAATTATTTATCCTGTGCTGTGTGTTGAGTGTCAATAGTTTATTGCCTGGGCTTTAGTGTTGAAAAGTAATGATTTTATTTCTTTCAAAATTATTAAACAATTATAACTTTTCACACCACTCATTTACTTTCAAAGAGGGCACAATAATCTCTACCTCTACCCTAATGTCAGGATCGTCCTACGCTCATAACACTTGATATTAAAACATGTGGGTCATTGTGAATATTACGAAAAATGCAATATGAAAAGACAGTTACAGCTTTCTATCACTTTCCATATAATGCTTTACACTGTTTCACACTTAATTAGTAATTTAAACAATAACACTTCTATTAAGGAATTCAGTCTTAAAACTTTGAAGGATTAAGGAATTAACTCCTAGACAGTGCTGCTTCCCGTTACCATGACAACTTGGAAAGTAGCTTTCATTCTATTCTGAAAGAGTCCGTTTATAAGATTCAACTTATACTTAAGACAAAACTTTTAACTCAAACTGTAATAATTTTAGAAGAAAACTTAATTTCAAATCAAATGACTGTATTTCCAATAATCCCTGGATGTCATCAAGTTATTTAGACATAGGATGCATTACAAAGTTTGTAAAATGACAACATATTCCAAAAGGTTCTGCCTAACGTCTTCAAATAAGCATTTAGTTTACATTAACATTTAAAATAAGCTCTCCAGGAGGCACTGTGACCCATTAATCTTCAAGATACGTCCAGTTGCGGTAGTAAAAATGTACCAGATGAGAACTGTATGGGGACATTTTTATCACAGCCTCAAATGACTTACCAGAATGACTGTTCCTTTTGAAATAGGTAGTAGAGCTGGATTTAGATTTGGATGTAAGATAGGTTGAGTTGGAACCAATGGAGCTTGAAGACAAAGACTTTCCTAGATTATCAGAGCTTTTCTTGATGATATTGGTAGCTGTTTTACTCCAGTCTGAAAGAAATGACATCACTTTATTAGTCTGCTGTATACCACATATGCTCAGCCTGAAAAATCAACAAAATTCATCTGGAGCAACTGATCTTATGATATGCTGGCAGTAGTTTCTAGACCGACATGAAAGCAACAATAAACTACAGCAATGGATATTTCTAACTTCAACCTTGTGCATACAAGGTTTAAAATGTACTTTAATATCTGATGAATGAGAAACAACTATAAATGATAAAAATTCCAGTAACTGAATTGACACTAAGACATTGAATCAATCCAGATGTCAATGAACTGATGACTAGATAAAGAAAATGTGATATAGACAAACAATGGAATTTTCTTCTTATTGTTGATTTTGTACTGTGACTTTTCATTTAAGGGGGTGTACAGTAACTGTGAAATGGAGACTAACATATCCAGATGTGAGGATACAATGTAGTATGCATCTCGAATTCCTGACAAAGATCGACTTACAATGAAACTGTTTACTATTATCTTGACAATAGGATGCTGGACTCTACCATTGTCCATGCCTGCAAGGATGGACATATGACTGTGTATGAAGAACTATACTTTAGTAATAAAATAGAGGAACTAGGTTGTCGGGGAGGGATTGGGGAGAGGATAAGGGAACTCCCAGGAGCCAATAACTGTATCATAAAATGATAACAGTAATAAATAAATACAGATTTTAAAATAAATAAATAAAAGAATGAAATTCTGTCCTTCACAATAGTTGCAACTGGAGATCTTCATGCTTAGTGAAATAGACTAGTCTCCAAAAGATAAGTAGCATGTGTTCTCTGATTTATAGTAATTAATAAATCAAATACAAAACATGTGATTTATGAGTGAAATTGGCATCTTGAGATCTGATCACTGTTTATAGACCTTGTCTATATTCCTGAAGAACGGTGGTCTTTCTACTTACTACCTGTTGAATTGTTTATTCAGTGAGGATTAAGGTTGTTCTAATAAAGCAAATTGAAAATCTGTCATTGTAAAAGTTAAAATTAAACACACGAAAGGGAGGAGTAAGAAGGGTTAGACAGAAGGGGTGAAAGGGAAGTGGAAGTGTCATTATGTTCTTAAAACTGTATATGTGAAACACATGCCATCTGTGCTCTATGTGAGTAAGTGGGAAATATCTTCCTTTGGCTTTTTTCTATATTGAGGAACATCCCTCTGCCTAATAACACATCTTACGGTTAAAAAAAAGACTATGTAACAGTGATTCTGAGTATCTGAGCTGTTGAATTAGGCCATTTTGAGTCCAGAGTCCAGATCTCTTCCAGCTCTCTCATTCTAAGATTCCAAGTCAGCATCTTCACATGTAGCACCTTTACCCCTTGCCACCACTGGGACTGTGTTGCTCTCCCAGGGAAGAATGAATGACAGCTACCTCAAGTGTAAACTTCACTGAACAACATGCCCCTTTACCTGAGTTATCTGCCAGTCGAAATCTACCACAGCACAGATGTCGCCTCCATTGCTTCTGAACATTCTCCTTCATTGCACAGTGGAAGATAAATATAAACAAACCTGTCACAAAGACACGAACGCTCAATGACATTCATTTTCAAGATGAATCTTACAAAATATGCAAGTTAGATTTCAAACTTTTGCAGTTATGTCATTAAGTAACAAAGATCTTAAGCAGTCTTGTAATATGTATTCTACAATTATATCCTATAGGACACAAAGATTCAGATAAAACTAGAATAACTGCATAAATTAGGTTCTCTTTGTTCTATTTAGCAATTAATATGACTTAGCCAAAATTTGAGGCTGAAAGAAGCAATATTTAAGAAGAATTTAATATTTTGCTATTAGTTGCATTTGACTTAAAACTACATTAAAAAAAAAAGCATCCATAAGATTAAGAGGGAAGGGCCTGGCAGCATGGCCTAGCAGCTAAAGTCCTCGCCTTGAACGCTCCGGGATCCCTTATGGGCGCTGGTTCTATCCCGGCAGCTCCACTTCCCATCCTGCTCCCTGCTTGTGGCCTGGGAAAGCAGTCGAGGACAGCCCAAAGCCTTGGGATCCTGCACCCATATGGGATACCTGGAAGAAGTTCCTGGATCCTGGCTTCAGATTGGCATAGCATCGGCCGTTGCATTCCCTTGGGGAGTGAATCATGAGACAGAAGATCTTCATCTCTGTCTCTCCTCCTCTCTGTACATCTGACTTTCCAATAAATAAATAAATAAATCTTTTTTAAAAAAAAGATTAAGAGGGAAGGAGAGGACTGCAAATACTAGCTATCTTATGTACATGATTACACCTATAATTATAGCATATAGGTTAGGCCATAAAAAAGAGGTATCTTATCAGGCCAAATAAAATCAACAAAATTATGTGGCTCCAACTGGCCTAGTTCCGTTTATCAGTATTTTAACAAGCAAATACATGTCTTAGTATTTGCACTTACTCCTGTGCCTATCAATCATGTTATTTGTGCTTTGGCAGCTGAACTTTCAGGAAATTTATTTAACATTTCACCCTCTCCAGAAAGTTTCAGCAATTTCTCCCTCTAATCCTCTATATTTGGTTGTTCCATTATCTAACAAGTACGTCTTAGAAACACTTTTTTTTTTTTTAAAAAAAAAAAGCCTCTGATTTTAATCTATAACATTTAAACACAGGAGTCAATGGCACACAAATTCAGGAGTTATAGGAACTCATTCTGGCACGGAGTGGCATAAAAATAAAAATCATTGCATTACGTTTAAGCGTCAATTAAACGGACTTCTTGAGATCTGATTATTATTTATAGTTCTTAACTATACTCCAGAGTAACAGTGGTCTCTCTACTAACTGCTTGTAGAATTATTTGTTTAATGCATACTTCAGCTTGTGATTATAAAGTAAATGCAAAATAACCCTCTGCAAAAATTAAAAGGAAATATGAAACAGGAATGCAGGAATGAAAGAGTGAAAGAGGGAGATGTATGCGGGGGGCAGGAGTGGGGAGGAAACTGTACAGGTGAAACGCCATGAAATCTGTTCCTGTTGTACAAACACAAACAATTTTTAAAACTTGCCTGTTTCTTTTGAATGTAGAGTATTCATCAAGAAAACTAAATATATGGAAGCTTCACCAATTGAAAAGGTTGGGGAAAGCACTGTTTGTACTGTCATTTAAGTAAGTAGTTAAGTTTGTAAAACGTGTCTAAGGTCTTGTCTACATGTTTTAGGTTTCCAATGTGTTCACTCAAAATGACCCATAATGACCCATACGTTATTCCAGAAATATCAGAGGAGGAGCCTGAGGGATGTCTGCAGGATGGCCCGTTAGCACAGTCAAATGTCTATGGGTTGATTCACTTCCGGGATTTACTTTCTCGTTTGGCCATCAGTGAGGTCCAAGCAGAAATTTCTATTGAGATTATTAAAAATTGATTGCATATTTTGACTTGAACACTATGAAAATACAGACTACATCTTGGTCACTGATTTCAAGTGTATGATCAGCATATTTAAAAATTCCTGGGAAATTCAAATACGTTTATCACAATGAACTCAGCGTAGTAATCAGTGTACCAGCATGGCCATTATATCATTTAACATGCAGCTACATAAATATGCAGTTTTCTGATTAAAATGCTATTACTTGTTACATGTAATTTATAAACAAAGACACTCCAATACAGATGAGCCAAAAATATTAATCAAATTTAAAAACTGAACAAACGCAGACTCCCTCCTAAAGACTCATACGCTGCAGGCTGGGGAGTTGGAGTTGGAGGAAGGACTCACGTGAGCACCCTGAACCGGTCTATGAGAGTGTAATAAAACTCTCAAGTTAGAAAAGATTTCTTTCAAGGCTCACAAACTCTTGGAGGCAGGCCTCTGGGGCTTAACCTTTTCAGGAAACAGTCGGTAGCCACCACTGGGTTTGACTTCATTTTCAGCACTCTACCTGGCTAGATCTGATTGCCACTCAGGGCCTCCAGACAATGACCAAATACTCTAACAAGTCTGCTTTGTACAGGAAATCACTTTAATGAGGAAAACCACCTTATATCACCAGCAGTGTGAACAAGCCCAAGTGTCCCAAAACTTGCATTGGTGAATGGGTCATTTTAGGATTCGAAGAGGTGATGGCAGGTCCAGAGCAAGGAGTACAGAGAGGGGGCAAGCCCGTAGATGACAACTTATGTTTGGAACTCACAGTGTCAGAGGACGAAACCCACCGCCTCATATTGACTCTATGTCCCTTTACCTGGGACTGAGTGCATTTGGGGAAACATTTTTGTTATACAACTGAAAATACAGAGTATTACATATTCTTAAATAATCACTTAATAGAATTGTATATTGGAGCTGGAAGAGATTATAAAATTCAGTTAAGGGCTTTCATCTCCAGGTAAGTATTCTGACTACTGAGTACACGTCCTCACATTAAAGAAATGATTTTTCTTTTAGCTGAAGATGGTAGATAAACATCACTTGGCACTGCTTTCCTTAATAATAATACTCTATTACTCTTCAGTAACACTCAGCTGTTCTGGTAGATGGCACACATTCAGGATACAAAAACTTCGGGGGTTGTGTCTGGTGTCTGGGGACAGTGGAAAAAGAAAACAAGGTCACTGTTCCACTTTTGTGGCTTTGTTGGGGTACTAAACTGCCAACTATTGGAAGAATTAGATGCTTGCCAAAGAGAGGATGAGACCAAAGATAAAACTGACTTAAGAAATGGGACTGTTGTAAATTGTTACTATGTAATATTAGAAGACTGCCTAATTTTTACCAACCAGACATGGCCATAGATACATGAAATCCAATGTGCTTAACGGATACTGGTCTGCACCAGATTCAAAATCTGTCACATACTCTAAAATTCTAAGATATTGGAGAAGCCACGTCAATGGGCCCTCTTCCACTGTGCACTGGGATGCAATAAGATAATAAATGTGAGAAATTAGAATTCTTAAAAATGATTGCATATTTAGTTATAGGCTATTATGTTTAAAAGCGTAAATATGGCAAATCCTTTGGTCTTAAAATACATTACCATTTCGAAATAAAATTGAGTCTCAAAAAAGGGTTTTTTAATACTTTGGAGTTACTAGCTCTCTTCACATGAACTTAAGTTAGTCTGTTATCACATAACAAATTTCTTCCTGGACAAACTGCTCCTTCTAGAGTTCAGTTATGGAAAGGGTGGGAGGCATTGAAATCCGCATTCCAAACACTTTTGGCAGCAGTGACTGAACATGGGTCACATGACAGCCACAGGCATTCGGACACAAAAATGAGCAGAGAACCATTTCGGCTTCCATGCCAAGTCTCCTCCACCCATGTATTTGTGGTTCTTGGTGTGAGAAACAGAACTAAAATCACCACACTTTAATAGACTCTACATTAGGCATCCAAATTTCTTCCCTTTAAAATAGGATCTTTACCCTACCACAGAGTAATATGCTCCACTATTATTCTGGAAAGAGCTTCCAGCTTTGACTTGGGACCAATACAGTTAGGCTTTACTCTTCCTAGTACCAGGCTTTATTTCATGGATTAAGAAATAAGGACTGTTATCCATAGAAGCCACAAGCTAACCAGAACCAAAACTGAACTCAGAGTTTTAAGTTTTACAGCATACTGACAGACTCACACTGGAAGAGAAGTCATGAATTTGAGCCTGGAGAACTACCACCTTGATGAATCCAAGCCAGAGTGCCTTAATAATAGTTCTTTTTGCCTCAGATTTACCTTGGTTTTGCATACTGCTCATGTGAAGCCAGTTCATATTACAGTAAGCAAAACCACATTTTAATCATCTTTAAATGAACAGAAGTCTTGTACTTGGAGAGAGAAAGAGGGAGAGAGAAAGAGAGGGAGAGAGAGAGAGAATATCAAATGCCCCAGAAGAGCCAGGGCTGGGCGAGGCTGAACCAGGAGCCTGGAATTTCATCTGGGTCTCCCATGTGGGTGGCAGGGGCTCAAAAACTTCATCATCATCTGTTGCCACACAGGATGCATTAGCAGAAAGTTTCATTGGAAGTCAAATGGCTGAGGTATGAATCAGCACTCCAACAGGGGATACAAGTTTCCCAAGTGGCAATTTAGCTTGCTGTGCTACAATGCCCATCCCTAAATGAACAGGTAGAAACCAGGCAGAAACCAGTCCCCTGCCCTCTTATCCCACATTCACCCCTGTCTTCCTTTTATTCCCTCCTTTCACTAACTTGAGGTTTACGATTACGATAGGTGAAGTTAATCTTAATTCTCAGTAAAAATTACAATCTTTTCATTTAGAACACACAAGATTTCCAACTTTGTTGGAACAAGTGTGTTGCAAAGACAAAGGTACTTTAAGAAGATTGTCGGGAAAACTGAATTAAAAGCTAAGCTTAATTTTGGTACAGGACTATTTTCATCTCCATGTATAATTTTCCCATAGCACGCATTTTCATGAACTCTGACTACTCCCTTCAATGCATCAACTGAAAATTGGTTAGCACCAAAGTAAACTTAGCTTTTAAACTTATTTTGTACAGGCTTTTGGAAGTACCCTCTTGTGTGGCAAAATGAGT